TCTAATTTTGTGTTAAACAATAAATTGGTAGTCTCCACTCAATTCTCATACACTACATCATCCGTCGATTAGTTGATATCCAAAATGAATGATATTTAATGAATCTTAGACAACAATTCATCCCATTTAATAAAAATAATTTACACTACTGATTTGGAGAGAGAATAAAAATGCTTAAAAGTTAACTTATGAATTAATTTTTATATATAGTTGAAATCATGAGTCATTTGAAGTTAGATCACCATGGAAAACGTGCAAGCACTGCACGGCCATTTCGTCCTATTGTGGGACTCCTCAGCAGTGCACATCCACGATCCCTCCTTGTGAGATTGAAACCCAGGACCTACCAGTCTCGCACGCGAGCACTTAACCGGTAGACTGCCGAGGAGTTCCATAATAGGACGAAACGACCGTCCAGTGTTTCCATGGTGATCTTGCTTCAATTGACTCATGATCTTAACTATAAAATTACTAAAATTTCCATAAAACTCCCCTTCTGAAAATATAAATTAAGTTGGTACTTTAAGATTTACTTCTTTTTGGTTGAAGGTTGAGTTGTTTGTTTGTTTTAATCCGAACAGCAATGGCCTCATCCGTCTGCAGGATTCTCAGTCTGACAGAATTAGTTTGACTGCTATTAACACGATATATTATTGTGGAAGATTGCTCTATGTCCAATCTGAAGGTGTTAACCGTTTTGACTACACGTCTGCTTCAACACACTGGGAGGTGCTCACGAGTCCGAATATACAAATTCCTAGATCATCTGCCTTTATAACTTGCTACACAGTAGCAGTTGAATTGATATATTCAGAAAGAAATGGCTAGTCTAAGCAATTTATCTTTCAACATCGGCATGATCATTGGACTTCTTAATCGGAAAACAAATACAATAGAAAGAAGATTTTGACTAACAGTAGAATTTTATTACACCATCACTTGAATGTCTATTCTTATCATCTACTCAACAACAACAATTTTAATGATAAATAATGTTTATCATTAGTAGTGTCTATGTGACATTCATTTTCATAACTCAACATATTACTCAATATATGAACTATAGAGTAAACGCAAACGCAATGATAAGTGTACAAACTATCTTGTTTGTTATAATTAGATTCCTAATAGATTTTGAAAAGATTGTAAATACATCCGGTCGATAGACATAATTAGTTGATCAAAACTAATCTGAACACAACGGATTCTTTCACAATAATTCCACATTTTAGATCAGAAGGGTTAAAGTTACACATTAACACCGTTGGATGCCGGCTTGGTGGTCTATCGGTTAAGTGCTCTGGCGCGAAACTGTTAGGTCCTGGGTTCGAATCTCGCGAATGCCGGATCGTGGATGCGCACTGCCACTGAGGAGTTCCATAATAGGATGAAACGGCCGTCCAGTACTTCCAGCTTTTCGATGGTGATCTAGCTTCAATTGACTCATGATTTCAACTATAAAAAATTCCACATTTTTAAAATGGGTAACCGGAACACATAATCAGGCCAATAATTCATGGCTAAAATTTGAATATATCACATCCTTGAACTATTTTACTACCTAGTTCTTGATTTTCATTAACCAACTTAGTTACAATATTATTTAGCGTGTATACATATTACTTTAAGCAAATGACGTCATCAAGTCTTGATAAATTCTCCAACCACCCACCCACCCCCCGTCTCTGAATACTCTTATTCTTTGTTTCTTCTATTTTCAATCGGTCTACTTTTGGACAGATAAAAAGTTTTATCAATCGTTATACATTTCACAATAAGTTTGTATCGATGTTTGATTGTTGGTTTGTTTGTGTATGTGTGTGTGTACATTATAATTCTTTCAATAAAATCTAATAGATCTACCAGCCCACATAATGTTTATTATTGTACATTTGTGTGTGTGCGCGTGTGTGTGTCTGTATCTATGCCAATTTGTGCGCACATCTACAAACACATACATACACCTCTGTAACTTATTGATTAATTCACGTAGTAAAATTTTTTTTACAAAAAATTCATTTTTTTGTTGTTGATACAATAAAGATGAAAAATAAAAGGTGCAGACAAGATGAACCATCATTTACTAGAAATTAAGTTAGTAAAACATCAGAAGAAGAACAATAGAATACTACTATTAACACAAAGAGTAGTACTAGTAGTTGTTGTATAACGTTTAGGTAACTGTGTGTGTGTGTGTGCGGAATCGTGGATGCGTACTGTTGAGGAGTCCCATAATAGGACGAAACGGCCGTCCAGTGCTTCCAGGTTTTCTATGGTAGTCTAGCTTCAATTGACTTATGATTTCAACTATATAAAATTACTAAAATCTCCACAAAAAACCCCCTTGTGAAAATTATATTTAATTGAAAAGAGGAATTATTAAATTTTAAATTCAATGTTCATCATATATATATTTCTGAGTGTAGAACCATGGGGTGCTCACTTCTGAGGAGTTGTACACAAGAACAAAACGGCTGTCCAATGCTCTCAGATTTTCAATATGACAGTCCAGCTAAGTTGAGTTCTCGATTTCAACGGTGAAAAAAATCATGAGTCAATTGAAGCTAGATCACCATGGAAAACCTGGAAGCATTGGATGGTCGTTTCGTCCTATTGTGGGACTCCTCAGTGGCAATGCGCATCCACGATTCCACACTCGCGAGATTCGAACGCAGGGCCTACCAGTCTCGCGCCAGAGCACTTAACCGATAGACCACCAAGCCGGCATCTAACGGTGTTACTGTGTAACTTCAATCAATACACGATGTTTGAGCAACCGTTCACCAATAGGACGAAACGGTCGACTAGGGCTTTCAGGTTTTTCATGGTGATCTAGCTTCATTTGACTCATGATTTCAACTATGAAAATACGGAAATCTTCACAAAACCCCTTCTGAAAAATAATCGTCTTAAAAGAGATTTTTCTTCAACTTGTCTAAAAATATAGTAGTTAGATGTTTTGAAACTGTTCTTTTTTGTCTATTTACCTCATAAAACCATAATATACAAATGACTTCGCTTACAATAGTAATAAAACTACTATATAGTATATTGTTACATGTTGTATTTACTACAGTTTATATTGATATACAACTGATAGTTGAAAACCTACAATTTTTGATGTCAATAATCAGTTGGAATTGTGATTGAAGGGCAGTTAATAGCTTTCGATAGCAATAAGATAAGGATTACACTTATATACGAACAACTTCATAGTATAATTAAGCTCGCCACAAGTCTGCAAAGTGTTATACTCTATCCGTTTCAGGGTTGTGGTTACATATTAAGATGAAAGAGATGTCCAGGGTATCTTTATTCTCAATGGTTGTTTAACTAAAATCAATCGTTGATGCAAATTAGGAAAACTATTATATTTTTTACTTTGCAATATATATTCATGTCATGATTTATGACCCTGTCAATTATTACATGAAAAAATCTCCAATCCGAACACCGACTTAAATGACTTTATCCCTCTGATGAACCAATGATACACCAATCAGTACTATCAACCTTGAGTCAACTCTGAGTTTTTATTAGTCCCCTGGTGCAGTAGCTTCTCGCCTATTCCAACCGGTTCAGTCAAGAACATAAATATCAGCGTACACTGTATGAATCATGTATATCAAAGACACACCGTTCGTCTACAAAGAAATCAGACCACATTACATCATAAAATAAAAAATGCAATGTCAAGTCCGAAGTGACTGTGATTGTGAGAGACTGTAACTAATAAATTAAAAATGGTAAATCGTATATCAGTAGTAAATAGGTCAAATGAAAGCTTTGTGATAAAAGGGATATGAATATACATATAATCTAGTTACTTAATAATTATCCAATAAGTATATATGTAATAATAGTGCATAAATAATCTCTAACAGTTACCATTCATTTATTGTTTGTTCGGATGTAACATCGAGCATGTCGATCACTTCACTTATCTTGGAAGTTTGATCGGTCCTTGTGTTTTTTTGGTGTCTGATGAAATATTGGCACGAATTCAGGAGGCTCTATTGGTTTTTGTCAACTTATATTCTTTGTTCGGATATAACAATTCAGTACTGCTCTTTTGAACTTGAGGTTAAAATTTACTACTTGACAGATAACTGATGAAGTACTATAATGTTATAAACTTCATTTTACATAGACAGTATTATTGCCTGAATAATTCTTGTCTAACAGATATAATCATATTCCCCGACCGTTGCTGCTACCTTGACGTGGTGGTCGGACTTGCCTATCGTGATGAACTAATCGAGCTATACTGGCTGGAACAATCGTTCCTCAAGGTCCTAACATGCCAGACAGGTCGGTTGAAGGGCGGTAAGGCTGAAAGCCGCAATCTCAAGGTCTGAAGGCGAAGTCGTACTGCTGACTGTACAGAGGTGTGACGGCAGTAAGGTGTTTCCTTCAGACAACCAGCATGACAACGATGCTGCCTTCCCACAAGGAAGGGTGGGGTTAGAAAAGGTCGACCCTAAAAATGCACACCTCACCTTATCCCACGGATTTCCGTCTCCAGTGGTAAGGTCCTTTGAAGAACGGAGCTAACACTTCAAAAGTCCCCCACAAAAAAGCCGTGTGTGACCAACCTCAAGCAGCTGTCCTTTGGACACTGCGGTTACGCTCCCAGGTCGTTAAGACCAACACTAATCCAACATCCTTTTCAGGTCCCTCAAAAAATACCCGTCCACGGTGTGGGCGACCGGGAAGTGATATTAGCCCTCATACCCGTAACTGTTTATATTGCTTGATCCATACGTGTTTAAACCTTTTTCATCAACATTTAATGGTACTTCTTCATTGCCTACTATTCATCTTGATAGTTTCCTCTTTGAATGACTCTTACTTCACAGTTAGTAATAACTTATATCGGTTTCATGTATTCATGACACAGATCCTTGTCAATTTTTTTTATGACCAATTGAGTAATAAATACACTGTTAAATATATTATCGTGTATGTATATATACTTAAATTTTCTGTTTTTTACACAGGTTGATCTTAATGAACATACATCAGGTGTACATGTAGCCAATTCCCTAACACCAGATAGTGTACAACTTTTACAAGAAGTAAGTATGGTTATGATTAAAATTGAATTTTTAAATGATTATCATTGGTACTAATTATTATTATTACTGATATCACTTATAGCAGTAGTGATTATAGTATCAATGAAAATAAATAATTTGGTGTTGGATCCAGTACGAGCCTCAGTCACTTGGTCACACCACTGAACATGATATGTATGTAGATCAGTTTAAATTCTCGTACCCCATTCTCAAAGTCCAAATCTTAGAATAGTAAAGGTAATAATAGTATCAGTGGTAATAAGAAAAATTAGGCATCAAAGATATGGACCTAAAAGAAAATATAAATTGTTGAAATACCAATCAAAAATTTGGAAGCTCAGAATTCAAAGGAAGATAATGAATAAATGCACTTGCACGATTCCAGACAAGTTCGAGCAATGTCATCACGCGGACTCTAACTAGGCAGTCTACACCTATCAACATGGCTCAGTCCAGTTTTCAATAACATCATTGACCCTGACTGACAACTAGCTAATAAAAAAATGTTGTGATAATGAAGCATTTTCTAATAAAAATGCGAATGTATTATTAGTAATAAAAAGTTTTGACATGAATAGTGAAACTTTTCATGTGAGTTATTTCTTACAGTTCACAGATAAATAGATATAAGTATGTTTAGTTCTTTCATAAAACTGATGTACGTACATACGAAGTTCTACGTTGTGACTGACTAACTTAGTTCTTTCATTAAGTTTGATACCACCTCGAGAACGTTTAAACTACTTCACAAAATTCGACAATTCCAATTTCTAGTATTTTCCCCTAAAAAGTAAATAATTTCACATCGTTATCCTAAAAATCGCTCGAAGTTTTTTTAATTCTCTTCAACCTCATCATGTTAGTTACTTTGTATTGTCTAATAAGCGAAATATTTATATATTTTGTTAACCGCTTACATGGCTTTAAACAACCTATTCATCATTGTATTTTGAATAACCAATCTCCAATGCCTTTATTCTGGTTGATTGGTGATGATCATCCGTATTTTTTTACTTCTGCAATACAATCAGTGCAAAAATGTAAAATTATCCAGTCAGTTAGAAAAACATAAGAAATTTAAGGATACCCATACGAATCAGTAAGTATAAATGGAATAAAATAAATCAGTGAAAGTGTTAGTTCCATTTATAACAAGCGTATAATCCCAGCACATTGTATTTCAGCAAGTTTCCGTTTCTTACTTCTTGATTGATCCTTCCGAGTAATATTGAGTGATCACCAGTTAGAAATCAGTAGTCCAATAAATCGACATCTCAATAATGTATATTCTTTTCGCTGCGTATAGCCTCCCAGCAACCACGATATCTCTGATTGGTACTTTTGTAACCTTTACAGTAAAAGGTTGTACACTTTTCACAAACGCACCTGAGTAGGTTGTACGACTAATCGCCATAATGATGTATTAAAACAAACAAAATTAGATAAATATCAGAATGGGTTTTTTTGTGGATATTATGCTAATTTTAGTAGTTGAGATCATGAGTCCATTGAAGCTAGACCACCATGAAAAACCTGGAAGCACTGGATGACCGTTTCGTCCTATCGTGAGATTCAGCAGTACGCATCTACGATCCCGCATCGTGAGATTCGAACCCATGACCTAGCAGTCTCGCTCACGAGGGCTTAACCTCTAGACCACTGAGCTGGCATTCAACGGTGTTAATTTCTAACTTCAACCAATCCACGACACTAAGGGACACATCCACCATTGTCTTCAGTGAGTTACTATCTCACAACAGACCCGGTTGAACTCCACTGGTCACTGCTTCTCACTAGAACTCCAGGAAATACCTCTTAAAGCTAGTCACTAGTGAGTATATGTTGAATAATATCAGAAGGGGTTTTTGTGGATATTATAGTAATTTTAATAGTTGAGATCATGAGTCAATCGCTCAGGAGTCCCACAATAGGACAAAACGGCCGTCCAGTGCTCCCAAGTTTTCCATGGTGGTCTAGCTTCAATGGACTCATGATCTCAACTATTAAAACAAAATTAGATAAGTTATTGAAATATCTAGATGACAGGAACAGGTAGCGCAGATGTTCAAGCAGGCCGCCATACCATATATTGAATTATAAATACAAACTTGAGTCATTTAATCATATCTCAGACATCAAGACCAATATTTTTATCAGATGATGTCTCTATGAGATTGTTAGTTGAGTAATAAAATTTTTTATCGTTACTGTGTTATTCATTAGGTTTGCTTTACATGGATGCTAAACCTTTTTTTTCATTCAACATTTTTCTTTCTTTAAGCGCTTAATGCCAGGACCGCCATTTGCTTTCGGTGCTATTCTAGTTCTGTTAGCAATTCTGGTAGCTATATTTATACCGGAAAATCATACATCACCTGAATTAACTCATTCAAAAATTATCACTGATACATATGAATCAACACATGGTGCCAGTATTTATGGTGGTGAAACTCGATTAAGACGTAGTTCACCATCAGGTCAATCTCATAGAACTACAACTGATTTTGATCAATTTACATGTGGATTGGGCGTACCTAACAATAATGATAGTGACAAGTCGAAATTAATAATGAGTAATAGTAGTACTGTTGAAATGTCTAAGTATAATTTAAAAAGTGGTATTTCACACAATCATCCAATGGATAACAATGGTATTTGGAATCGTTTAATGACTGGTCTTACAGATTTTCGTAATCCAATTTATATAAAACAACGACCAAATCGTGTATATCGTCAATCAAAAAGTCGTTTTAGTACAGCAGGTATTGTAGAACCATTTCGTCGATTATTTATTCGAAAAATATATGATGGAAATATTGGTAGTTGTGGTGTTGGTGGTAGCGGTGGTGGTGGTTTTCTTGATCATGAAGCACGTCTTCATTATTCCAGATTGCCTTTTACTGTTATCTCATCATCGAATAATAATAATCAGAAATATTTAGATGATATATCAAAGAATGATTTATTATTTTCTAATCCTTTATTATTAAATCCTGGTGAATGTGAGGAAGCAGCTGATTTAAGTAATTATCGTGCACATCATTTCCGACGTATGTTTATTACTCCTAATACGACTACTTCTACTACTCCTCCTCCTCTTCTTCCTTTGAATAATGATAATAGTATTATTACTACCAATTCGTCACAAAACTATACTCCAACTAGTTCATTATTAATCACTTCTAATAAAATTGGTCAATTGAATTCATTGGGTACAGATGAAGAAGATACATTTATGAAACATTGTAATTCATCAATATCACCTATTATTAGTCCTACAAGTAGAAAAATAATGAAACAAAAATTTTTTACAACAAATTCTTATAAAGAATCAACTCATAATACATGATGATAATGCCCCCTTTCTATTATGATCTAGTAAGTTCCATATTGAACTGTGTATAATTTGGAGTATAGTAAATATTATTGATTTAAAGAAGGTGCATCGACTCTTTGTGTTCTACTAAATTCTAATCTTCTGAATTCTTCATGTCTCTTTCCGCTGGATTATACTCCTTGAATAATCTCTTCAAACCGTAATCTTTCAGATTACTGCTTATACTTTTACTATTTCTACCACTATGGGATTTGAATGGACAACTTCATCTCTATGTTAATATGGTATGGCAACTGAAACTGATTTACGGAGTTCTACGTTGTGACTGACTGACTGACTGGCTAAAGAAACAACAATTTAACACGGTGTTACATTTTATTGATTGTATAATGATTTTCTCATCAGTTGTCTACTCTTAACTGTATTACCGGAAATTTTTTTTAAGCTCTGTAATTGAGATGGTTGGAACATGTGTTACATATGTCCAACTATTTTCCACCTCGATACGCGTTGATAACCAGGTGGTGTTGGGATTAGGTTGAAAAAAAAGTTAGAGGCCCAAACTAAGACGTGAGATCAATCCATGAAGTCATTGATTGTTGACCGGACCCATGTTTGTAGGTGTGGACTACTTGGTTAAGGCCCACAAGATAACCGCGCTTACTGGTAAGAATTGTGACCAATGGTTAGAAACGGGTGATATAACTCGAAATCAGTCACAACATTCACTTTTTATCTTCATTTGCATCATTCCTTCATATATTCCTTTTCATTTCGTTTTCTAAAGCTATATTCCCAATTTTAGTATTTCTCTTCATCACTACTACTACATAAACTCCAATTCTTCTCAGTTCATCTTGTTGTTTTCTCCTCGTTGTGCTCATGTAGCATAAAATCTTGAGTTAATGCACATTTGTTTCAGACTTAACATTTATTATTCACTGAATCTGATAATTCAGGATCGTATCACCCAGTCAGTGTAGACTAGAATAGCTTGAGTGTTGTTACAGTTGTATGAGTGGTTTTGCCTCGTTGTTGTCCATATCATGGGAAGATAATTCTTGCCTAGGTACCTTTAAAAGAAACTGGGTTATGAGTGGTCTTGACAAACCAGTAGCACAATTGTTGAATCCATGAGACAACATCGTGAGATCGATCACACATAGGCTTTCCGTGATTGACTTTCGGTATATTATCTCTTTATTTTTTAGCACTTACCACTAGCGACAGAAATCCAGGAAATTATTCTGGGTTTTTTTATCCTAAAGGTCGACTTTAGTGCAGTCGCCCGCGAACCCTAAGTTCATTGCATATAGTCTTACTGACGTACTCAGGATAGTAGAATTTAAAGTAACAATTGTTCCAGACATTATAGCTCGACTGTCCAACCTGATCACTGTGTAAAAGTAGAAGCTATCGTTAGTATTATATCACTGATGGAATCAGAATTTCCACATTGTTGCTGCACTACATATTATGTGCACATTGTTGCTAGTGTATGAGAACAGTTCTTCTGAGGAGACGATGACCATTCAAAAGAAATTTTAAAACCTGAAGTGGATAGTATTATAAGAGTTGAATTCAAGACTTGGTGCCGATATATGGTCTATACATGAGCTCGGGTACTCGGGGGAAAAGACGGAGAATAAATAAGGTATTTGGCTATATGCAATCACTTGTGTACATATATAGGAAATTAGGCTTATCAGTGGTTTATCTCTCATCTCTTGTAAATATAATATATTTCTGAACCAATCACATTCAGTTATCAACTGGAGATTTCTGATTAGCTCACTGTATCTTAGATGAGAATTGTTTGCATCATACCACTGTATACTTAATTTCCTACTAGTATCCAACATTAAACTGTACACTATATGTGAACTTAATCTTTCCTATAAACATATCGAAAGTGTCTATATGTATATCCAACTTTAATATGAATTTGACTTATTTAATGTTATACCTCTTATTTGTCATTGAATAGTCTGCATGTTAATTTTATGTTTTCATTACAAACTGGCATTAACCAGTCCTAGCTTATAACACGACAATAGTCTTCAACTGTATTCTGTTTCAGACTTTCGTTCTGTATAAAGTATCTTGAGAGACGATTAAGTCGACATGCAATGGTTTTATATAATTCGTAAATGTAATTAACTTGTGATATCATGTCATGATATCTACGTCATGTCGATAAAAAGTGAATTACAAATTGAATTATTTCTATAAATCCCATATTGTAAAATTAATTTAACTCATTCTCTCAAAGGGGCACCAGATACATATGCGTCTCACAAATCTCATTTGATTTGTGTGAGGGCTGTGATACTGTCCAGATGCCCAGACTGAAGCAGGTGGTTTTCTTAGGGGCCACACCCCGAGCCTTTGACCTGAAGGTCTAGTCCACAAAGCAGTGGAGCATTGTAAGGAGATGCAGTCCCATGGTAGCCGGTGACTAACGATTGATTCATATGCCATTTGTTCCATCAGGATACTGGAGCCCATGTGCACCATTGGTTTGGAATGAAGGATTTCCAATTCCACTAGGTGAACTTTCCGTGTCCACCAACCCGGTTAAAGCATCGGACATTCCCTTTTTGTTCTCTCAATTTCGTAAACAATAGTAATACCGCGAGAAGGCAATGAGTAGAACTTCCCTGGCAGAGGCTACATACGCGTGGCTATGTGAGAGCATTTGGAGAGGGAGAGCGAACTCTCCCCACTCTCGATCGTACCAGGGCATTTGGGGGCAACCTATGATACACTAATGCAAACTGTTTTCAATTCATATATCTTACCTAGTTTGTGAATCATTTATACTTATATTAATTCATTATAAGTAGAATAGATGAATTGTGTTTAGTAGTAGAATGTAAGACATACTTTTCATTTTATTTAGGACTCGTCAGTTGTAATTTACCTAGAACCCGGTATATAAATGTGTGCACATTAGGATTTGAGCTCAGTGCTTTTTACCTTTCGACCTTCATATATCATTGATTGAGTTACAAAGTCCAGATAACCACTGAATATTTTCATTCAACGGATATGTCATTTATAGTATCCTGTTGTGTGGATACTCAGAATTGAAATTTTCATCAGTCTTTGGTTAATAGTTTGTAATATCATAATAATGACTGTTTATATTCATCTCTATTTTCCTCTTTTTTTTCATAGAGACTAATCTGCCTATAGACAGTATTTATTTTCATTGAACTTAATGTAAAATTATAAAGTGAGTGCCTACAATTCATTATTTTTTATTCAATAGAAATAAATTGAAATACCCTCTGTATCTATGCGTCTTTCTCTCTCTATTTTTTCTTCATGGCTATCTTCATCATACTCACTATATGCCAATATATATTCAATGCAATTGTGTATGAATACATACTGTATAATTAGAAAAACCAATGCCAACACATACAAACATGTAACATACACAACACACACACACACATATATACGCATATACACTTATGCACAACACAATACAATACAATGGATAAACCAGTTCAATGTCAATTTTAATGATACACATTTATTTGTTTTTGAGTATATATTGTGTGCTTTGTGTTTTCTCTGTTGTTGTTTTTTTTTTTTTATTTTATAGAATTCAAAATATAATTTGTACAGTGTAGTGTTCAAGTTTTACATTCATCATGTGTTTATACGTATGTGTGTGTATGTGTGTGTGTGTGTGCATTGTGCTGTGTATACACACTACTCTATACATGTATATATTTATATATATATATTCGTTAATGAGAACAGTAGTAAGCACAAAATAATATTTTGTTTTCAATAGTTTTATAAGTAGTATATATATATATATCTATTCATGTAATGTATATTTGCTTACATAAGATAGAAAGGAAATTATATCATGCAGGTTTTAATTTACTTTTCTTATTTTTAAAGCCAAATTTTACACCTTTTTGTTCTCTTTCTCTTATAATGATTCATTTGTGTGTGTGTGTGTGTTTGAATTTATCCACCACCCATCCACCCCCTGCTAATTCGTATAAAAAGTCAACCAATAAATTCCATCATTGTAAACTGATTATAGAAAAGATGTAAATCTATTTTTTTTTTCATTCTTTTTTCTTTTCTCTTTAATAAAAAGAAAGAATCATTGATAAATGATTGTTGTCATGATTCTCATCTTTTTTTTATGTTGATATGTTTATATTTCATTTGTATGATTGTGTGTGTGTGTGTGTACTTGTTTGTTTATTTATTTATTTCTGCAATACTTTCTTTTTCTTCGATCAAATTTGTATGATGTTTTTTTTAAACAGGATTTCTCTTCTACTTATTATTATTATTGTTAATTATTCGTTATATATATAAAATAAATAAGAATGTGATGATGTGCATTTTGGTTGTTGTTGTTGTTTATGTTTCCGTATATATATACCCTGATTACGTAATCAGACAACATTGACTAATAATATGTATAGTATAGTCAATTGAAGCTAGACCATCATGGAAAGCGTGGAAGCACTGGATGGCCGTTTCTCCCTATTGTGGGACTCCTCAGTGGCAGTACGCATCCACGATCTCGCCTCGCGAGATTCGAACCCTAGGATCTACCAGTCCCGAGCCAGAGCACTTAACCTCTAGAAACTATTAGTCAATTGAATAATATATGTTGTATTATAATGAACAAGAACACAATTAGGAATAATTGAATGTATTTAAATACATAAATTACAGAATTTCTTAGTAAAATCTGAGACTTACTTATGCCTGTCACTCTGTCATTGAAGTGTATAGACCACCTACCAGTATTCTCTATTCAACCTTGTCCAGGGCAATCTTTTTCGGTGAATACATTATTTAAAAAGTGTATATCAAGTATCTCAGACTGTTTGTGTTGTTCCATCATTTCTACACTAATCTTTCTCTGTTTTCTTTCTTCGAGCTTCTTAACCTTCTACCACCAGACATTCTACTTCCGGTTAATGACACATACTACTTATATCTGTCGATATCAATGGTACACACCATAATATGATGCTTATGATATGGCTTTGATTAAGACAACTTATTCTTTCCTCAATCGTAAAATGATTTTTTCTTTGATCTGGTTATAAATAAAAGTGGAATAATGCAATTTATCAAGAAGGGACCAGACTACGATTATTTGTTCGTAGGTTATATTTTTTTTCAAAACCTTTAATGATAACGAATTTTTTAATTCCCGGCAAGAAATTTCAAGGTCATTCACCTTCATCTGATTAACTCATCATCAGTATGGTATAATTCTACCGATTAATAAATAACAGGTCTGTTTATTCATTATTTAGCCTTATGAATGTTATTCACTTAGTACTGTTTGTTTGAATCTTCCCATTGATGTTTAGGGCTGCAACTGGTTACTTGCACAAGCAAGTGGCTATCAGGACTAAGTAGTTGAGTGGATAACGCGGTGGCGTTATAGCAACCATCCTACAATCAATTTCGATTATAGCCAATTTTGGTTAAGCCCTTTTTTATAACTTACTTAACAGACATTGTCATTTGGATAGTAACAATTTGCATATTCTTTGATCTGTTATACCATTGAGCACATGACACTCTAGCCGAAAGGTTGACTGCTTAAATATCATTCGATGACTCATACTCCTCCCCATATATGTACGCACGCAAATATTATTATCAGCCTTTGTTTTGCTTTGCTGTGCCCTTATTAAATTTGACTATAAATTGCCTATGTAATTGCTTGCTACTCTCTCGCTCGCTCGCTCGCTTGGTCCTCGTTCGTTTCCTTCGCTTGTTTGCCTGTTCACTCGCTCGTTCATATTCGCTCAGGTGTTGTTAGCTTTCGAACCTGAGTCATTCGACAATAAACTGTAGTTGCTGCTATCCTTTGTCTTCTGATTTTACGCACCGTTAAGTTTAGAATTATAACGGTTATCGAAGTAAACGGTTAACGAATCGCGGCACTACAGAATTGGAGGCCTCGCCGAACAAGCACGACGCAATAGAATTGGATATCTCGCCGAACAAGCACGACGCAATAGAATTGGATATCTCGCCGAACAAGCACGACGCAATAGAATTGGATATCTCGCCGAACGAGCACGACGCAATATATTTGGTTACCTCGCCGTACGAACACAACACTACGGAATTGGATGCCTCGACGAGCGAACGCAAAACAATTTTCGACGAGATAATTTCATTTTGAAAATTCAACGTACTCTGTTTCTATTCGAATTATTATCTGGATTATAATCATAATTGTGGATTTATTATATCACAATTTTAATCGCACGTTCATCATCCCATAAGCATTATTGAACTTAACGATAATATTCATAATAAATAACGATTATTCACTAACAATTGATATATTGGTGCAATTTAGTAAGTCTGTTCCATTTTATAAATTGTACCTTTTGTTATTATCATTTTTTTCATCGATTCATTTCTCTCAGTGACAATTACGTTATATTCGCATACTATTTAATTTATTATTATTATTATTATTATTATTATTAGTAATGTCTTTAAATAACGAAACAATCGATCTTTCACAGTCACCATCCGTGGGAGTTATTAATGTTACTATTCCCTCTTTTAATGTTACTGATCCTCAACTCTGGTTTATTAGACTTGAAAATTACTTCGTAGCCAATCGTATTCTTTTACAGCGACATAAGTTCGGCTACGCAAGCTCACTACTTCCAGATGAAGTAGCAGACAAGGTACGAGAGGTCCTAACTAAGCCGGATGCGGTAAATCCGTACGATGTATTGAAACAGGCAGTAATAAAAGCTCTCTCGTTAAACGACCGGCAAGCTGTCGAGCAGTTGCTCAGTGAAGTTCAAATCGGAGATAGAACGCCTTCGCAGTTAAAAACGTATATGAGCAACGTAATTGGAGACAGAAATGTGGATAAAAATATATTTTACCACTTATGGTTGCGACGACTCCCACCGAACGTACAGCAGATCCTCGCTGTTGGAGATAGCGATGTAGACATAGACAATATCGCTAAAATAGCCGATAAGATTTACGAGAGAATGAGAAATGCGACTTCACAAACGCTCAACTTCACAGTTGACGAAAGAATCGAGGCCTTGCAAAAGGAAATTAATGCGCTATGCCATAAACTAACGAGTCTAAATCACAACGACAGGAAAAGAAGTTGGTCGCGCAGCAGATCAAGAGATAGAAACCGATCATTTTCTAAGGGACTACCAGATCCTGTTATATGCTGGTACCATCAAACATTTGGGTACAGAGCTCGAAAATGCAGGTCTCCATGCAAATTTAAACGATCCCAACGATTCTCAGTAACGACTACGAAAATCAACGCAGCTCCCACGAGCAATCGTTTATTCTATGTTCAGGACAGAGTAACGGGCGCGCAGTTTTTAGTAGACACGGGAGCAGAGATAAGCGTCGTCCCTCCATTGAGCAACGAAAAACAAAATATCGATACTGCGCTAACTCTTAAAGCAGCGAATAGATCCGATATAAAGACATATGGCAAACGAAAACTAACCTTGAATTTCGGCCGTAATATTTCACTTCGCTGGGAATTTGTAATCGCTGATGTTTCCGTACCCATAATTGGTATCGATTTCTTAAAGAATTTTGACCTATTAGTGGATTCTCGACGAAACCAACTAGTGAATGGAGAACGCTCAGTAGTCATAAGAGGAGTGACCACTGATCATGTATCTATGAATTTAGTAGTGTCGAAAGATAAGAACGAGCAATATAAGTCACTTCTAAATAAGTTCGCCGACTTAACGAGGTCATCATACGACAATAAAGATCTTAAACATACAGTACAGCACCATATCGTCACGAAAGGTCCACCGACTAGAGTAAGAGCGCGAAGGTTGGACCCAAAAAGGTTAAACATTGCGAAACGAGAATTCGAAAAACTAATGAAACTTGGTATCATAAGGCCATCTAATAGTCCCTGGGCATCTCCGTTACATATGGTTCCCAAAAAGAATGGAGAAATTAGACCATGTGGAGATTATAGAGCCCTTAACAAGCAAACGATAGCAGATAGATACCCAGTGCCACATATTCACGATATCACTACCGAAATGGAAGGTGCTACGATTTTTTCGAAAATTGATCTTGTTCGGGCGTACTACCACATTCCAGTGGCCCCAGAAGACATACCGAAAACGGCCGTAATCACTCCATTTGGTTTATTTGAGTTTTTACGAATGCCATTTGGACTAACTAATGCAGCTCAAACCTTTCAGCGATTTATTGATCAGGTTGTTAGAGGTTTGACAGGGGTATACGCATATATCGACGATATATTAGTAGCTAGCGCTACCGTCGAAGAACATCTACAACATCTACGACAGTTATTCACGAGACTTCAAGAACATGGTGTCACTATTAACGTGGAGAAATGTGAATTTGGAAAGAAATCATTGCAATTCCTAGGTCATATGATAAATTCTCGAGGTATCATGCCAGTTCCAGCGGAAGTTGCTGCTATTCGCAATTATCCGTTGCCCGAGTCACAAAAAAAGTTACGACGATTCCTGGGACTAATAAACTACTATAGGCGATTTATTCCAAACTGCGCAGCAATACTACAGCCATTAACGGACGCTTTGCGAGGAAATACCCGAACATTCCATCTATCGACAGAGGCTATACAGGCTTTTGAGAACGCTAAGCGAGCACTTCATGAGAAAATGATATTAGTTCGACGAAAGAGCGAAGCGCCACTAGCCATCATGACGGACGCATCGAACATAGCAGTAGGAGCTGTACTGCAGCAGTTAGTAAACGGTACATGGGAACCGATTTCATTTTTCTCGAAGAGATTAAACCCTACACAAACGAGGTACAGTACGTTCGGAAGAGAACTATTAGCGATTTACTTGGCAATCAAACATTTCCGACACATGATAGAGGGTACCATTTTTACAGTGTATACAGACCATAAACCCCTCACGAAAGCATTAAACGCCAAGCAGGATAACTATTCGCCGAGGGAAATTCGACAATTAGAATTTATTTCCCAATTTACTTCTAGCATACAGTATATTGAAGGTAATAATAACGAAGTGGCAGATGCGTTGTCCAGAACAACGATAAACGCCATTGTTACAAATGGAATTGATTATCACGGTCTCGCGAAGTTACAAGAGATAGACATCGAACTAAACAAGCTAAGATTCGATGACACGACGTCATTATTATTCGAAGATATTCAGTTCGGCAACGCGAAAGTAATATGTGACATGTCAACTGGCCGACCTCGCCCATTCATTCCTAAACCATTGCGACGGAAAGTATTCGAAAGTATCCATAACCTATCGCACCCGGGAATAAAAGCCACGATGAAATTAATCAGTGAGCGTTTCGTATGGACGAAAA